CAGGGGACCCTTCACTAAGTCCTAATGAGCCCGGGTCTTTACAGCCAGTCCTCGGGTTATTTCTTTGGAATCCACAAACACTGTGCCTTTGCACAACAGAGTGATAACAATTTAACATTTGTTTTCCTGTTGTGAGGGTAAAATGAGTTAATATGTGTGTGGCAGGCAGGCAGACAGGAGCGGAGCAAGGCCTAGGCCAGGGCGGAGAGTCCCCGGAGCCTAGCCACAGGCAAAACTGCAAACAGGGACCTTCCTCCTCCCCCCAGGGTGACCTTTCCTCCCTAGCATATCACTGGTCATGTGGTTGAGACCCCCTGACCTTTCACAAGTCCAGACCCTCCCCTGACCTGTCCTCCTCTGGCCTGTTGCTAGTCATGTGGGTGAGACCGCCTTAGAGGGGGAACAAACAAGGGGCGGGAGAGTAGCCCTTAAGCATTCAGCCCCAGGACAAGGAGGTTCTGGCCCCCAACAGATACACTCAGGCCTCAGCTGTGTTTAACTCCAGGCCAGAAAAGCAGAAAAACCAGACAAGAGACACCAAAGCTGACTAAGGACCAGCTGCATTGACCAATGTCCCCTGCCCTGGCACTGACCAGTCAGTAGGGACCCTGACCTGAAAGGACACACCTGGAAGGCTGATGACCATTCAATTGAGACCCTCCGCTTGGACCTCCCGAGACCTCCATCCTTAACAGCTATTAGGACCGGCGAGCTCTCCCTCCAGGAAGCACAGCCATGCCTTTCCCCCTCCCCCTGCCTCCCCTTCCCCCTACCTTTACCCTTCTTTTGCCTCTAACTTGTTTCCTGAGCCCATTTCTTCTACCACTCACTTCTCCCACCGCTGTGACTTTCTAATTAAATGCTCTTGTACTTTGAGTCTTGGCTCTGAATTCTTTCCCAGCCAGAACCCAAGTTCCAAGGCTGCAGCACCCAGTGCAGTCTGACCCCGCAGGTCTGACACCGGCCGCTCCTGCCGCCTACAACATGTGTCATGCGAGGTGCTGAGGTCCCAGCAAGCCCCAGGGTACTGCTCGCGGGCGCCTGAGGCAGTGCCCGGCGGCCTGGCTGTGAAGGCCGGGCAGTGTCGGGACTCACGTGCCCGCCGGTGGCACTGACCGGTGACGTTTACTGCCGCACCAGCTGCCACCAGCCACAGTGAGCCACTGAGCCCAGCAGGCCTGGGGACAGGCCACGCGGGGGGCCAGGGGGGCCGGGGGGCAACAGGTGCTGCTGTTTTGCTGCCACCCAGACTTTTCAAAAACAGGTTTTACAGAGAACAGAAAGCAGGAGAACAGGGCATGCGGGGGGATGTGTGTCCTGTGCCTCCCTCCTCGAAAGGTGAGTGAGATCAAAGCTGGCCACTGGTTTCCTGACGGAGGAGCTGGCCGGCTCTCGAGGACCCACAGCCCACTGGCTGGCGGCCTTCATCGTCTCCCCCAAGCTGGGGGCTGGAGCATGGGAGGGGCCCCTGTTCCCGTTTTCCATAAACATGGAAACGGACAGAAGAGTGGCACGTGGAAGCTTTCAGTTAGTTGGTTTTTGGTATTTGTGGGGGTTTTCAGAGATGCTGTGATTCCTTCAAGTTGGCTTTGATTACCTAGCTCCTGCCGGTCTCCTCCCCCAACCCTCCACCCCACCCTGAGCTCTCCCCCAGCTTCTGACAACTGACTGGTACCAGATGACTTCAAGCACCTGTGACCCCCAAACCCTGCCCGGGAAAGCACCTTGTGCATAACTCTCCTACCTGAAGCTGACATGCATCGTGCAGGAGGGCATTACAGGGCACCTTAGGTTTCTGGAGGAGAGAATCCCTACCTCAGGGGAAGCCAGGCATGCCCAGAGGCTCCTCTTGCCATCTGACTCAGCCCTCCTGGCCCTGACTTTCACCCTCACAGCTCTAGAGTATCCAACCTGCTTGTGCACAAACTCCAGCTGCTCTGCAGGGAGAAAGCAAAAGCAACTCCCAGACCGCAGTCTGTCCTACTAGCCCCTGGTGTTCCTCTCAGACAAAAACAGAAAATGAAGGTCCCAGCCATGCTCCTTGCTGTTGAATGGTACTTCCCAATATAATTTTTCATGCTGATGGAAATGGTCTGTATTTGTGCTGTCCAATGTGGTAACCACTAGTCATACGTGCTACTGAGCATTTGAAACACAGCTGGTGCAATAGAGGAACTTAATTTTTTAAAAAAAATATATCTTTATTGATTTCAGAGATAGGAAAGGAGGAGGGAGAGAGAGAGAAATGTCAATGATGAGAGAGTCACTGATTGGCCGCCTCCTGCACACCCCCGACTGGGGATCCAGCCTGCAACCCGGGCATGTGCCCTGACCGGGAATCGAACCCCGATCGCCTGGATCCTAGGTCAATGCTCAACCGCTGAGCCATGCCCGGGCAGGTGAGGAACTTAATTTTTAATTTCATTTAATTTTAACTTAAATGGCCAACTGTGGCTACTGATTACTGTATTAGACAGCATGGTTTAAATTATCTGCCTGGCATTATTATTAGTAGTAGTAGTAGTAGTAATAGTAGTATTTAATGAGATATCCTTGCTTTAAGATTGGGAAATATATTTTTCAAACTTGGTGCTGATGCTGGTGTCATCCTTCAGGGATCAGCTGATCTCAGGAGGTAAGGGAAAAAAAATTCCATGCCAGACCTCAGGTTCCCGATGACACTGAGGACATCAGAGAGCGAAGCCATGGCTGAGGGCGAGTCTGGCTGCTGGCTTTGTCCTCATTGGCCATGTGGACTGGCAGCTGCTAAGCTGCTAATCTTCCATGCCTGCCTCTCTAAGCATAGGTGGCCTCAACTGGTGTTCAACTTGTGGGGATCAGGAGTCACCCCAAGATGTGCCTCTGTGGTGTGTGGATTGTTTTTGACCTGTGGGCTCAAGAGAAACTTCTGTCTCCCCGGGAACTACCTAGAAGAATTTGAATTAGGGGTCTGACCCATAATAACAGACTCTCCAAGGTCACTTTTTCACTATCTGTAGGGCAGGGCAAATGTCTTATTCCTGCATAGCTGCTGTTCTTGTCAGCCTGCCGTAGCCCTTTAAAGCCGCCTCCCTGAGGCACCTCACGGCATCCCTAGCTCAGGACGCAAATGCCTCATTTTAACTTTCTGCCCCTGAGCCTCCCATGTTTGTGGGGTCCCGGGCTCTCTCATAGACACAGGGTTCCCATACATGTGTATGTATTAAATTGGTCATTTTCTCTGGCTAATCTTCTCATGCCTATCTGATTATTTGACCAGCCAAAACAATCTTGCGGGTAGAAGAAGTTTCTTTCTCCCCTACAAACCCATGACTTTCCTAAATGTATTCTTTGGGAGCAAGAAGCTAGCTAAGCCCAAGTGACCCATTATACACCTGAACACAAGGAATGGAATTTGGATTTGGGAGGGAGGAAGGGAGTTAGACATGAAGAAGGATGGCCTGGCAGTTACAGTTATGAGGCGGTGGAAGGGGGAGACCAAAGCTAACCAGTCCTTTCTTCTTCAAAGGCCAATGATGGTCCCTCTCCCTTGGCTAATACAGGGAGGAGGGGTTGAAGGAGCCCTGCAGATACACCACAAGCCTCCTGAGGTCCAATGAGTGGTCCCCATCCCACGTAGTCAGATCCTGGGAGCCCCTTGGAAGGCTGGGCTG